CTGCTTCTCCCTCTGACCCTCCTCCCTCTCATGCTCTCTGTCTCTCATTCTCTCTCTCTCAAATAAATAAATAAGATCTTAAAAAAAAAAAAAAAAAGAAACAGATGTGGTGAGTGCCACGAGCAGCTGGCCCCTTGGGGGAAGGAGAAAAGCTGTTAAACCCTGGTTTGTTAAAGGCTCTCTCCGATGCCCACTGCAACCCCTTCAATTGTGCCCTTCGGGAAAAACAAGGTTACAATCGGCTCCTGTCTAGTACACAATGTGTACATGGCAGGAAGAGCATAATGTTTTAATAGGACAACTTCCACAGAGCTGAGGGCAAGTTGACCAGTTCTGTTTCGGTTAATCCCTGGCAAACTCCGCCTGCACTTTCTGCCAAATTTAATCACCCTCACATCCAGCAAACCCCTGGACATTCCTGGAGAGAGGCATCACTAGCACTGTTCTCGAGTTGTTTAAACAAAATAAAACTTTCTTCTTGGATGAAACTGAGAAAGAAAAAACTGGGGGCAGTGGAAGGATTAGCTTTACTGGCATATTAATACAATAGCCTATCCACCTTCCATTCTTTAAAACGAAGGAACAAACTAAGATGATCCAGGGAGTTTTCATTCATAATCTGTTCCCGTACAGATCCGGAGAGGTTTTGAATCAGGTCCTACATAGAAGTAAGGCCTAAGAGGTCTAGTAAAAGTGTCAGTGAAAGTATAGATGTGAGATTTTTCGGTCCTGTTATAAAATGAGATCTCACCCAGCTCATAGTCCAAGAAAATCCCAATGCCTCTGGGGTTCGCGTCTAACCGCAGGAGGGTTGGTGTAGCTCCCACCGCCTCATAGCCACCTTCCTGCCGCTGAATCATCCAGCACTCCTGCCAGGCCAAGGGAGATCTCCTGGCCTTTGTGGGAAGAGAGTCTTTGCAAATCCCCACAGCCCATTCAGACTTGTCTCCCACTTCTACTTCCCAGTAATGCCTGCCAGAGTAAAAATATGGAAAACCCAGGACGATTGTATTGGCTGTAAATCTTTTTGGAAAATGAGGAACATTTTGTTTTCTCTTCGTAAATGTCACACGTTTCTTATCCTCCGAGACAATCAAGTTAGGGTGTGCCGTCTCCTGGTCTAGGATAATGTCTACTCTAAATTTGTTTATAATTTTCTGCAAAGCGGAATACTGGGGAGGAAAGCTGCAGCCTTCTCTTCTTAACTGGACTGAGAAAATTGATGGACTGATCTCATCCTCAGATCTCCTGTAGAAATTTTTAATTTGTGACAGCAATTCCAATTCAGACAGCACACTGTTCTCTGCTACTTTACTCAGTAGACCTTTGAGTGTGGAGATGTAGTTTGAAAATGCGGTTATGTTTGCACTGAGCTTCTGCTGCATGTCCTTCTCTTCATCAGCTAACCTCGAAAGAACTGCTGCTTGATCACGTTCTAAAAATTGCTTCAGGCACTCAAATTCAGAGAGTAATTCCTGCCTTTGGTTTTCCACCTTCTCTTTCAGCTCTAAGGGTTTTTTGCTTTGAATGTGTATTAATTTCTGAATGTCTGCCACCTGCTTCTTCAGGGGCCTGATGTAACGGCTGAGCCTCTGCCTGTGATGAGAGGCGGCCTCCTCCAGGGGCCTCACCTGGTGGTCCTGGTGGCCAGGGGGCTGCGTGCACTTGGGACACAACACCTCAAGGTCCTCCTCGCAGAAGAGGGTCAGGACCTGGTTGTGCTTCTCACACCAGTGCCTCTCTTCCGGCCTCCTCTTCTTGCTCCTGGTGACGTGGAGGAGCTTGGCAATGTCAATCATCCTTCCCAGCTGGGTGTTGCTCCTCAAGTGCCTCTCTTGGTACGTGTGACGGCACACGGGGCACGGGAACCTGTCCTTGCGATCAGCCCAGGACTGCTGGATGCAGCAGCGACAGAAGTTGTGCCCACATTCGGTGGTGACGGGGTCTCTGAGGTAATCCAGACAGATGGGACAGTTGGCTTCTGCCTGGAGTCCTGCCAGGGCTGCCGGGACTGCCATGGGGCTGTAAATGAAGGACTGCACTGAGGTGGGTTTTCTTCAGGAGCGTGGGCTCCACAGTGAGAAGTGGATACACCCTAAAATCTCAGGCCTCACTTTGCTTGCAGCTCAAGTCCTGTGAAACTTCAGGCCTTTGAATTCCAGCTGCCAAGAGGAGCCCTTCCTAGAGCCTGCAGCCAGTCACAACTCGGCGGGAAAACTACTCTCCAGCCTCTGGAAACAGAAAAGAAAGCCAAGCTAAGCAGCTCTCCCAGGAGAACAATTGTTTCCTCACATCATTAATTACTGGAGGAGAGACGATATTACTTCCAAAAACTCTGGGTTTTCAGGTGGTCTTACCCACTACCACATTCTAGCCCGATTATCCTTTTCTAACCCCAATCTTTTATTCCCATGCCTTTATTATTATGCTCCATCTATTCCTACCCGTTCGGGGTACCACAATCTCCGCATCCCATCTACCTCCCATTCACCCCAACTTGGGCTGTGGAAAGTGCATGAGCTCTGGGACAAATAGAAGTAAAACACCCAAATTAAGACACAGCCTTGGTCACCTATCCATTAACGTGGGATTCATTTTATATCTTGAAGGGATTTAGAACATGCCACCCAAAAATATGCCATTGGTGTGTGAATTATTTTGAGATGAAGGCAATTCCCAAGACTCAGAATCAGGAAAGGCCCTTTACCTCCATCTTAACTGGCTTCAAAAAATAATTTCCCGGGCACCTGGGTGGCTCAGTTGGTTAAGCGACTGCCTTCGGCTCAGGTCATGATCCTGGAGTCCCGGGATCGAGTCCCACATTGGGATCGAGTCCCACATCGGGCTCCCTGCTCAGCAGGGAGTCTGCTTCGCCCTCTGACTCTCCTCCCTCTCATGCTCTCTGTCTCTCATTCTCTCTCTCACAAATAAGTAAAACCTTAAAAAAAAAAATTAAAAAAAAAAAAATTTCCCCATTTGTGGGGGAAATCTACAATTATAAAGGAAATTTATAAGGGGGCCTGTAGCAAGGAGAGAGCTATTACCAGAGAGAACTTTTTCACCTAAGAGATATTTATCTGTGTAACATGACAACCTTTGTATCACAGATTTTTTTCCACTCACCTTCCCAGGAATTGCCTCCCCCAACACCAGAAGTCCCAGGCCCCTAGTTCTTTCCTGAGTTCTGGATGGTATCTAAGTCTCAATCGTCTGGTGGTCTTTTCAGTCTATCTTTGTGACATTCCTGTGCACAAATATGTAATTATTTTTTTTTTTTACCTGTTAATCTATTCTATCTCAATTCTTAGATTAGCCACAGAACCTAAAAGGAGAGAAGGGAAAATTTTTCCTCCCCTACAATCCCAAACTCTTATAATCAGGTAAATAAGGACTATAATAGCACTATAAATTTTTGTCTTATGAGAATATAGAACTTAAGGAAACCTCAATTTTGAAGCTTGAAATAGTTTTTCTGATGGCTCAGAATTCACATATACCAATTTGGTTTGCTTTTTTTCATCCTTGGTCCTAAGGTATAGGGGAGGAAATATTAATTTTCCCTCTATCCTCCTAGGTTCTTGGCCGAGACTCCGCTCTAATCAAAAGACACACAAACACAGGAAAACATTAAGTTTTCTAGTATGTATACATCCTGTACACAACAGAGTTAGGAAAACTGAGTAACTCCCCAAAATGGCCCAAGCCACCACCTTAAATACAACGCCCAGCTAGACAAAAGATGTTGGGGGGGGGGCAGTTTAGGAGGTTATCAGGCAAAACAGTAAACAAGGTCAAGGTTGTTAGGCCGATTTGAGTCCCTGCACTCTTTGGATAAGGGTTTCAAGATTTAGTCCTGCCCCTCTTCCTGATACCGAGCAAGAAACCCCCCTACAAATGGATATTTCTCTGATGAATGTAAATTTCCCTCACGAAAGGGCAACATCTATTCTATTTTCAAAGTTTCCCAGGCATTTGCTGCCTTTCAAAAGTAATTAGCTTGAAATAATCATTATGCTGTGAAAGAGCCTATTTTGGGATGGCAAACCCAAACCAAGTAAGATAATTAAAACTATCCTTTATAGGTTATAAAAAGCTTCATGCCAGGTGAAGTTCTGCCAAATACATTTTGCACCAAATTTATCAAAAACTTGTTTTACAGCTGTTTGAGTTTCAGAATTGTAGGCTCTTCAGGATGACCATGTGACCAGGTGCCTGCCATTCCTGCTTACACCAAGTGCAGGATTTAGAAAATGCTGTTTCCCCAAATCCTTCACAGGGTCCACAAGACCCCTCATGGTCGGACCCTTTACCTGCCACCCTCCCCCTCCCCAAGCTAGCTTCAGTCCCAGTTCTTCCTTCACTTTCTCCAAGTTGACCAACCTCTGGCCCCACGACATTGGCATACTGCTGACCTGAGGTCCAGCAAAGGTCTGGCCCATGCATTAGTCTCCTTCCTTAGTTCCTCTTCTTCCCTCAGATCTCACACATCCCGTCTGTCCTCAATATCCTAGTTCAAGGTTCAGTATCAGACACCTCCCCTTTGGAAACCTTAATCAGCGTTGTGGTTTTCCTTGAGGTCAAGCTGTCTTCCACACTAACCACCAAGAGAGTAAGACTGTATCCTTATTTCTCCTAAATGACCCTTAAGCATCCAGCTCAGGAACTCATTAAATACTTGTTGAATTAGATTCCTGGTGCTCCCTTTACAAGCTCTGTGACTTTGGGTAAACTACCTAACCTCTCTTGAGACTTAGTCTGCCCTCCGTGTAAGAAAGCAGACTGGTTAAATTAAGAAAGACCAAGGCCATGCAGGGCTTGAGAATCAGGGGTACGGGGGTACATGGCTCTTGGCTCTCCACTCTTCCCACCACAAACCACTTATCACCGAGACGTCCTGTATCGAGATTTTACTTTGAACGTCACACCCCTCTCCGGGCTTTGTCACACACAGATATTAACTCCCCTTTAGGACAGGGTGGGACCTGGCTACTGTGCTTTCCGCAAACATTTCAGGTGATTCTTTTTCTTAAGATTTTATTTATTTGTCAGAGAGAGAGAGAGAGAGCACAAGCAGGGAGAGCGGCAGGCAGGGCAGTAGAGGGAGAAGCAGGCTCCCCGGCGATCAAGGAGCCCGATGCGTGGCTCGATCCCAGGACCCCCGGATCATGACCTGAGCCGAAGGCAGACGCTTAACGACTGAGCCACCCAGGTGTCCCATTTCGGGTGATTCTTTTTTTTTTTTTTTTAAGACTTTATTTATTTATTTGAGAGAGAGAGAAGGCACACAAGCCGGGGGGAGCAGAGGGAGAGGGAGAA